TATTGCCACCCTTGTTTCCAGGCTGCTGCCTGAAGAGCGGGGCCCTCAGTCAGCAACCGCCGCTCTGTGGATGCCCAGCTCTGAAGGCAGCGCAGAAGTAAGGGTGGCAATACTGCAACCCTCCCCCCTCCTAAAATAACCTTGTGACCCTCCTGCAACTCCCTATTGGGTCAGGACCCCCAGTTTGAGAAACACTGGTCTCCCCTGTGAAATCTGTATAGTATAGGGTAAAAACACACAAAAGACCAGATTTCACGTGGGCGGGGAGGGCAACCAGATTTCAGAGCCTGTGACGTGTTTTTCATGGCCATGAATTTAGTAGGGCCCTACGTATAACTCTAAGGCACTGTTGTGTAATTTTTTTCTCATGCAAACAGCTTGGATCGTTTTACCATTAAAAAATTAGGTGCTGACCCTAGAGGAAACTTCATCTCTGGGTGTGGGACTGTACACTCACAGGCTTATCCCTCTACTGAGCTAAAATATTTGGCATGCTTCTTTTTTCATGCATTGGTGAAGAATTATTTCTTCAATATCCATTCTGTCAGGCCCGTGAAGACCAAAAGACAAAGTTTGTCAGTTTCCGAGCTTTGTTAGAAATATGAAAAAGCACTAGATCAAATTTCACTTGCTATAGAGAACCCTACAATTAGAGCTGAACCAATGTAGGACTGACAGGAAATTTCCACTCTTCAGAATTTTGACCTTAGTCAAGAACTACAAGTATTATGGATGGAAAGTGCCCTTTCTCTCCACCCTAATACACTTTGTTTTCACTTAGCCATTTATTGTACAAGGCTAAGAGTCTTACCCTTTTTATATTCTGAAGTTACATTTGTCATTTCCTGAAACTATAACTAGTCATTCTCAGACATAACCCAAAATCCTTTCCATAGCACTTGAGAGAAAGTGTCATATCGGGCAGGATTTTATGTCCTTTAGTGGCAATTAGCATTAGGTGGAGCACGTGGCTTGTGGGGGGAGGCTGAGGGAACCGGGCTTGTTTGGTTTGCAGAGGAGAAGAGTGAGGGGGGATTTGGTGGCAGCCTTCGGCTACCTGAGAGAGGGGGTTCCTGGGAGGATGGAGCTGGGCTGTTCTCAGTGGTGGTGGAGCGACGGTCTCGGGTTGCAGTGGGGGAAGTCTGGGTTGGATGTTGGGAGGAACTGTTTCACTGGGAGGGTGGTGGAGCACTGGAGTGGGTTGCCTGCAGAGGTGGTGGGGTCTCCATCCTTGGAGGTTTTTGGGGCCCGGTTTGACGAAGCCCTGGCTGGGATGATTTAGTTGGGGTTGGTCCTGATTTGAACAGGGGGTTTGATTAGATGACATCCCAAGGTCTCTTCCAACCCCTAATCTTCTATGATTCTTCTAAGAACTTGGCAAATCTACTTCAATATAATTGAAACAAGGAATAAGAGCTGGTTCATGACCCACCATCCCTATAGACTACTTTTGGTAATTCCCTTGGGAACACACTTTATGAATAGTTTTTATAAGTAACACCATTGTATTCTCCTGCAAAGAGTGTAATAAACATATGAATGCTTGTTTGTTGTTGTAGCTGTGTTGGTCCCAGGATATTACAGGGACAAGGTAGCTTGAAAACTTCTCTTTCACCAACAGAAGTTGGTCCAAGATATTAGCTCACCTACCTTGACTCTCTAATGTGAATGTCTTATGTACTGGTCCATTCAGGAAGCTCTTTTTGATGAAACATTTATATGGAGAGTTCAGACTGGAAAGGGAAATAGGTGCTGGCAGTGGGATCAGTGGAGAGCACGGTTAGGAAAAACAGCATTGTGAGTAAGGCACAGAGAGGATTAAAATTGGAAATGAAAAAGATAAGTGGTATTCTTCAAGTTCCTGAATAAATCAAGTTCTGCTTACTTGAGAAGCCAGAATGAGATGCCACCATTGTTATTCATTATTGGCACTGATCCCCTCATATTGTAAGTATGAGCACACTTGATCTACTGGGCTCCAGTCTGAACTGCCCTTCAGTGCAAAAATGCCCCCAAGCCTTCTGCTAGGCTCTTTGGGCTTGGCTTAGCTCCCTTCATTGGAGAAAAAAAAAAGTGGGGATAACTTGCGAATTCACCACCCACTTGTGGTGCCAATGAGAGGTCACTCACAATACATTATGCAAACCTTTGTAACATGATCATCCCTTTCCTTTCTTACATGTCTTCATCAGCAGTAAGATAGTTAACAATGCTGACATTTATATTATCATTTTTGGGCTCTGAGTAAACATTTAATGGAAATGAAGTGGGGCAGTTCACACTTCTCAGAGCTTTTGTTTCAGGAGGTTTGCAAACTCACATAGCACTTCATTAGTTACACTTGACTCATGTAATCATTCTGAATGTGTTCTCCTCCCGACCATAAGAGCTGTCCATGTCCCCCTGTCTCCCAACTCAAACCTTGAGTTCTGGACTGGGAATCAGGAGATCTACGTTCAATTCCCAGCTCACCACAGACTTGCTGAGTGATGCTAGCCAAATCCCTCATCTCCTCTGTGCCTCAGCTTCCCCATCTGTCAAATGGGAATAATAATGGTTCCCTACATCAGAGGAGTGTTAGAAGGCTAAACTCCCTGGACATTTATATGGATGCTGAGAATCACCATTTAGTAAAGCTTAGTAAAAAATGTGGGAAGGATACAATCCTTTATGCTTCAGGATATAACCCACCTCCATTTTTATAGGGCTTAGAAACTTTCAGTAGGAAGAGGTTATGACATAACTCAGGGGTAGGCAAACTACAGCCCATGGGCCACATCTGGCCCACCAGCCCTTGAGCTTCCACTGGGGAGCAGGGTGTGGGGCTTGCCCCGCTCCTGTGCTCTAGCCGGGGAGTGGGGTGTGCGTGCCACAGCTCCGCGCTGCTCCCGGAAGCAGTGGCATGTCCCCGCTCCAGCTCCTTTGTTTAGTGGCAGCCAGGGGGCTCTACACGCTGCCCCCACCCCAAGGGCAGCCTGCGGACAGAGCAGTGCACAGAGCTGCCTGGCTGCACCTCTGCGTAGGACCCGGAGGGAGGACAAGCTGCTGCTTTCAGGAGCTGCTTGAAGTAAGTGCCTTCTGGAGCCTGCACCCCGAGCCCCTCCTGCGCCCCAACCCACTGCCCCTGCCCTGATTCCCCTCCTGCACTCCAAACCCCTTGGTCCCAGCCTGGAGTACCCTCCTACACCCCAAATCCCTCATCCCCAGAGCCATCACTTCCAGATGTAGCCCTTCCCCCCCCCCCGCCCTCCCACCTGGAGTCTCCTCCTGCATCCTGAACTCCTCATTTCTGGCCCCACCCCAGAGCCTGCACCCCCGGCCACAGCCCTCACCCCCTTCTGCATCCCAACCCCAATTTTGTGAGCATTCATGGCCTGCCATGTAATTTCCATTCCCAGATGTGTCTCTCGGGCCAAAAAGTTTGCCCACCCCTCTCATAACTGCTTATTTCCTGCACCCTTCGCTGAAGTATCTGGTATTGTAGAGTTGCCAGTTTTGGTTGGCTGTATTCCTGGAGATTTAATCACATGACATAATCTATAATTAAAGATTAATCTTAAATCCAGGAGACTCCAGGCCAATCCTGGAGGGTTGGCAACCCCAGGACCAGCTGCCCGAGCCATGGCACTGCTGGGTGGATACCAAGTCGCTGCCTGCAGATAAACGGGCCAGCTGAGCAGCCCTGCCCCTGCAGCACCCACTGTGCCTAGGGTGACCAGACGTCCCGATTTTTGCTTCTTTGTCCCGCGTCCCGACTGATGTTTGGTCGGGACACTGCCCAAAAAAGAAATGTTGCGCTCCGCCCCCGCCCCCCCCCGTCCTGGCTCCGCCCCTTCCATTGGCTCCCTCCCCAAATCCCCGCCCTGGCCCCACCTCTTCCCCAACCACACAGCATTCCTCCTCCCTCCCAGGCTTGCGCCGCCATGCTGCAAGCCTGGGAGGGAGGGGGTGGCGGCAGTGCCTGGATCCTGGAGCTGGTGCGTCAACTCCGGCACCCGGCAGGCAAAGGGGGGCTGGCAAAGGAGGGAGATGGGGGGCTCAGCTTTGAGGCTCGTGCCTGGGCCACTGCACCCGGGGCCGGGAGCGCAGCCTGGAGGCTGCTCCAGCCCTGCAGCCCGCAGGGTAGCACGGTGGGTCTGGGTGGGAGCAGCGTGGAGCGGGCAGGGGGCGGTTGGGCGGCGTGGGCCGAATCTCTGCTGCTGCCAGGGAGCCCTGTGCCTCTCCCTCCCGCTCGCGGGTGC